ATATATATATATATATATAATTCCAAAATATAAATTAATCAAACTACAACATAAAATACATCTAATAATTATGCCTACCCAAACATGTATTTGTTCAAAAGCTGAGTATCATCTACCATGTATTCAACTGTGAAAGCAGAATATCATATTTTTATTGTTTCAAATCATTGAAGATTATGTTTCAGCATTAAATGACCCATGAGGATTTGATATGCCGTTAAACAAACAAATCGATTTGTCAATCAACAGTTCAATATTCTATTCCGTTTTTAGATTAATGTTGCTTTTGCTGCCGTTATTCGCTTGTTCAAATTGATCATTCACAATACTCTGTGGACTAGATTAAGTGAAACGTCACCTTTTAAGACTGCTTTCAGCCATTACTTGTCTCAAAATCTTTCTTTTCATCTCTCCTGTCTAATCTTTGTCGTATTTAAGTTTTCTTTATACTTTGAACTCTAATTATGGAAATTCCCAGTCACTTGGCTATCGCTAGTTGAGTCATCTTCCCATTCAAAGTTACAATTTTCTTCTTTGTTTCCGAAGAAATTTTATAACTAGTTTAGTGTGAAAAAGCAAGCTAATATTCAATTAAAACTGGGCAACGTACCTTCCAGTGATGTTAATAAAATGGAACAATTCCATTTGACACATTGGCTTATTTTCAAGTCTTTATCATCTCAGATCTTTCACTGGCCTCATAGTTTTACAGCGTCTCTTTTTCAAATTGATGCTGTTTAAAGCGTCTTAACTTCTATTACATGACACCAATTGAATCTTATTTTCTAATCTTCAAGGTCAACAGACGCTTCTGAAAAAGGCATACTGCTAAACAATTTTAAATTCCTAATAAAATAAAGGTCTATAATAATTGTAGTTAGACCAAGATATTACGACATGAGTGTATGAGAAATTCTACTTGGTTTTAGTGAAACAATGAAAGCTTACATAATAAAATGAAAAAGAAGGAATGAAGATTAAAATAATAATTATGATTCACCAGAAAAATAAAATAGAAAAACCATGAAATTTTCACTTCTACTGCCATTAACTAATAGATCTTGCATAAGATTCGCATTGTACATTCACGTGTTTCACAAATTTTGCATAAACTTTTAAAAATTAACATTTTGAAAATTTGCCGTTTTTTTTTTAACAACTACGTACAAAATCGTATCACAATGCTAGCATTTATAATTTTGTTGCTAATTTGAAAAACATATTTTTTGTTAATTGAAATTAATGTGCTACAAATGTTGATTTCTCCATTCTATTACGCTCGGGAAACCACTCCAGAAGCGCTTAGGTCTACTAGACGATCATGGTAACGATTGCGCTAAGACATGAAAAAATTCATTATGAGATATTTGAAACGAGAAATGCTTCTTATAAATTTCCGATTCAGAACACAAAACTGTTGTGTATTTACTGGCGGAGGATTAGGTGTGGCATAAGGCCATTGAAAAATGTAAACATAAACGTAGCAATAGCGTTAATTTACTCCAAAAGTAAAAAATAATCAACATTCAAGTTGTTTGCTAAATTCTCTCATCATATCTGAAGGTAGAATGCATATGTCTTCCTTATTCTGAGATGATGTAAAAAAAATGAACAGTATTTTTTGGAATTGGCTAGAAGACAGCATTAATGTTTCCACTCGATGTTAGCATATTGATGATGAAGGGCGATACTGTAGATATATTCATAATATATATCAGAATGATCTTCAACAAAAAGCATCAGATTAGTATGAGGAATGTTTCAAGAAATAGGACTGAAGATAAACCTTTCTAAAAATAGAAACTGGGATCTAGAATTAGAATGAAGTTTTGTGAAGAACACATAGATTGAATCCATAATAAAAAATGCAGGATCTGGAATTAACAGATATGCAATACTTCAAATGTCTCAGTCTATGGACGATTTTAGGGTAGGATGTGAGGAACTGAATATAAAATATCCTTCGAAAATGCTACAGAAGCTAAATATTAATTTAGAAAATCAAGAACTGATCTTAACCTCGTTAGATCAACAATTTCATATGGATTTTATACATAGAACCAAACTAGTTCAAATTTATCTAAACTCTCAGCTGTGTATAGTCCTTTTATGAGAACATCGATTAAAAATGACTGCCAACGAGTGATGCCTGTGAATCGAAACTCGCGAATTAGCTCTAGAGAATTACACAGAACTATACCAAATCGTTGACGCCACATCACTTCTAGACTTTCAAAACCAACAACTCAAATTGATAGCGCATGTAATTCGTAGAAAAAAAAACGCTGTAATCAAGATGGTGACGTTTCTATCTACTTCGAACAAAACATTAGAAAGAAAAACACTATAAATGCTGGAAAGTACAATAACAAGTCCTGGGTTTCGGGAAACTAATTTCAAGAAAAAATGTATTAACCATACCATAGTCATATGGGTTGTTTTGTTACCTCAAAATTTTTAATGTACTCATAATTCCTAGTTGACCTTGTCTTTTGCTTCCTGCCATTACTATCCTCGCTCAGTGAGTGTGTGTGGCACGTCGTGTGGCGCAGTTGTCGTGGGAGACAGATGCAAGTTGTCTTCTTCGGTAAATCGAATCGAGTTCTCTCAGTCACTATGTATTTATCTAAAAATGAATACGCTTAAATTAAATACTGATGAGCTATGTTACAGCGAAACAGTCTGTGGATGACAATATATATGCTCCTGAAAAAATGATTTCGTTTGATCTCTCTGGGGAGGAAGTGTGAGTTAGTAAACAGTGACTATTACGGCTAATAATGCAAGACTCTTCGGTAAATCGAATTGAGTTCTCTCAGTCACTGTGCGTTCATCTAAAAATAAATACACTTAAATTCACCTTCATCCCTACCGTGTGCCAACGGTTTAGTGGTAGAATCTCCCGAATGACGCCAATTCAGTCGAGTTTCGAATCTAGTTGGAGACAACCGGACGTCCAGCCACACTGATGAACTGTGATACAGCGAAGCAGTCTGTCTGTGGATGACAATATATGTATGTGTGTGTGTGTGTGTGTGTGTGTATTGCTCTTTCAGTTCTGTAATTATGAGTTTAGATAATGTTTCTATTCATGGCTATTTTTCATAAAACTTTTCTCTATTATTGTGTGGTGTTTTTCTCCTACAATTTGCAACATGAATATATGTATAAAATGTATTATAATTTTCCTTTCGATGAATAATTATATCTTCAGTTCAAGTTTTGATTCCATGTACATTGTAACGGACATTGCCTGTTAGGTTATTTTTACAGCAGTACGGCAATATTTTACATAATTGTAACACTATAAGCATTTTTGTATTGGGGCTTATAAACAACCCAGGGGGCTACCCATTTTCGGAAATCCAGGATGACTAACGTAGGATTAATAAAAAGACTTTCACATTTTCGACCAACGGTAATTCTGGTTGCCTTGACAGTGAAGGCCGAATATTTCCATTCAAAAAAAGGCTAATATTAACGTTACCGTCAACATATCACCTCACTTTAAGAACAAATGACAGACAAAATTCTGACGCTCTTGTTTCCAATGTATTTAATGAGGTTAGGCACAATTTTCAAGATGCAGCGCAACCTATATAAGCTGAAATGCCAACACAACAAATCTGATCGACCTGACAACCTTTCTAATCATTGCTCTGTAGTAGGCGTCTAGTTATTTGCTAATTTGTCTCAATAGAGTAAAAATTCATAAATTAGAGTAATTAGTCAATCACAATCTAACCCTGTACATCAATGTGTGATCTATGAAATGAAATTGATAAGAATTGCAAGACGGCAATTTTTGCTTTTATAATATTTAACCCTTATCAGTCGATGATTCAGCATTTTAATTTTAGAACCTTGAAGTCCGAACAAAAACGCAAATCAAATGTCGTATATATATTCTCGTTTGTGAGCACCTCGGCGTGGTGTAATGGTTAGCAAGCTTGTCTTGCTAGAACATATTGTGACTGAGTAGTGATTCCGATCTTCACTACGTGCTCCATACTTCCGGCCTTGTACCACATCTAAGCAACGCTTAACTAGATTAATATATGTTCTCGTTTGTATGTCAAAATTCCGTCTGAGAATTCCGGGTCATGTGGAGAATTTTTTTGTCGAAAATATCTACAATTTTTTTTTTTTTTTTGCTCCAAGAATTTTATTAGTGCATGGAAAATTGCCTTTCCTCAAAATAATAGCAGGACCTGAGCTAGTTCCATGGATGTCGAATTTGGCAGCATTTGAATGAACTCTGCCGCCAAGCAACAAACAAATAAATATAGCGAATGAATGCCGTCAAGAAATTTCGGGCAAATTAACGCCTTTCTCGGCTGCTCGACAGAATGCCAAAGACTAAGAAGACACAAGGCAACTGGAATCAGATGTTTATTTTATTGTTTTTCTGTTTTTATGTCCTATTCAATAAATTGCTTTAAATTTACTTTTCGCACCATGTTTTCTTTTTTCTTTTTTATGTCCTGAGTTAAAATTTTCTAATTTCTACCTGTCTTTCTTTCTTTTGTTCTTTCTCTCGTTTGTTCTTTCTTTTTTTCTTTCTTTCGTTCTTTCTTTCTTTTTTCGCTTGTTCTTTCTTTCTTTCTTTCTTTATTTATTTATTTCTTTCATTTCTTCTTTTTCTTTCTTTCTTTCTTTCTTTCTTTCTTTCTTTCTTCTTTAAATGCTTTTATCTTTCGTTTATTATTTCATTTGTTTATTTTTTCATTCGTTTGTCCGTTCTTTATTTTCTTGATTTACACCCATTTTTTTCTTATTATTTTGATTTTAATTTGTATTTATTCACCCTTTCATATATTCTTTCCTCATTTTCTCTTCTTTCTTTCTTCTAATCGTTTTTTCTTGGTACATATTTCCGTTTTCCTATTCGAATTTATATATTAGTTTATTCTCCTTTTGCTAAACATTTATTTTAAGAATATTTTTATTTGTTTCATTCTTTCATTTTTTTTCACTCTGCTTTTTTTTCTTTCCTTTCAATGTTCCTCTGTTTGTCTATAATCTTTATTTTTCACATTCTGTTTCCTCCATTCTCCTTCTTTTCATTTCTTTGCTCTATTCTTTGTGCTTTCTTATTTTCTTTTTGTTTAACTTTGTTACAAAAAACCGCGACAACTTTACCCATCATTCTCTGTCCACTACTTTCGCAAGTTGACTTCGTTTTCCCATCAATTGATTTTCTTTCTTATTTGAAACCAGTGATTATTTCTTTTGTAATTCTTTCAAAGTTTCATTCCTCCCTCTCTTTTCCTTCATTTCTTTTTGACCGCCTCTGTTCATCATTTATTCCCATATTTAGCCTTCAGCTTCTCGCCATAGTGGAAGAGGGCAAATCAGCTACTACTTACAAGGCAAGAGGCCAGCAAAAACAAATCATTCACTTCACTCAACAACATCTTATCTGCTTCTTTTTCCACTTTTCAATCGAAAAGCCAATATTTACGTCTCGTTATTTGATCGGCAAACGCTCGAGTATCTTTTTTGACTGCTAACACTTTCCTCCTTTCATTGATGCACGTTCCTCGCCAAGAATGACCACCATTTTAAACAAAAGTTCTTTTGGTTTGTTTTGCCTTTTCTATTTAGTTTTAGTTCTTTTTTATCATAGAATTCCCATTTTTTTTTTTTGAATCTTTGACTTTCTTAGTCTGGGGAAGTGAATATTTGTCATCACCATCACGGCACGCTCCTTTTCCACCATTTCGAATTGACATGAGTTTTTCTTTTAATCCATTTATTATATTAGTTTTAAGTTTTTCTTGGCATTGCAACCTGTCTTTTGTTGCAAATACCAGAATTAAATATTAGCAAGTATGGTGGGCTTCATAAAATTTGATTTACATTAATCTCCCACGAAAAATGCGGATTCATCCGCATTTATTTCATACTTTCTTTCTTGCTTTCTTTGTTGGTTTGTTTCGTTCTTTGTGTCTTCCTTAGTGTCTTTGGTAGTATTTCATTATTAGTTTTTTTTCTAGTATAATTATTACATTCTTTCTTTCTTTCTTTCTTTCTTTCTTTCTTTCTTTCTTTCAAGATAGTCTTTCGCCCGTTTTCTTTACCATCTTTCTTTCTTTTTTCTTTTTTTCTTTTTTTGTTTTTTCGGTTGCTCGTTCTTTTTTTGTTTGTTTGTTTCTTTATTTTTAAGTTCACTTTTCATCCTCTTTCTCCCCCACCCATCTTTTTTCCCCCTAATTCTTTCGTCTTGTTTGTTTGTTTGTTTCTTTCTTTCTAATATCGTTTTTCATCCTCTTTCTTTCTCCCTCTTTCTTTCGACCCTGACAGGTTTTAGACACTTTCAAGTTTTGGAACCCCTAACAGACTATTTTAGAAGAAAATAAATCTACAGAATTATAAAGTATAATGTTAATAAAATTACGCACGATGAACTTGATCATTTTTCTGTGAATAGAAACTTTCCCTCTTTTTAGAATCTTCGCTAAGTAAATGGCCCTTTCCAGATCTTCTTATGCCCGTTCTTATCTCGTTACAAATGAATATTAATTTAGTTTTAGTTCTTAGAAATTTACATCCTTTTATAAACTTGTAATCCAGCTATTAATCCTGATATTAGTAAAATATTGTCAGCAAATCGTTGGTAATTCAAATAATCACACACTATGTTCAATCCTAATCATATGCAGTTTATTTTCTTGAAGATACTTTCAATGCTTGATTTATTAATATATATGAAATTATAACCCTTTTTTCATTCATTTAACAATTTCTATTTTAATTGCATCTTTGTTCCGTTTTTTAATAATCTTATTATGGTATATATTATGGTATCTATTATGGTATCTATTATGGTATATATTATGGTATATATTATGGTATCTATTATGGTATATATTATGGTATCTATTATGGTATATAATATGGTATATATTTAGTAAGAAATGGATCATAATTTTTACTTGCGATAATAATCAAATATTTTTTCAAAGTAAAGTTGATTTTTCTTTCAAGTTGTTTACTTTCAATTTATTACCATAACTTCCTTTTCTCCCACTTTTTCTCCTTTATATATTCTTTGTATCTTCATTTTGATCACTTCTTTTCCATCTTCATTTAGTATGTGGATTGATACAGGCATACAACGATACAATAAAAGGGAAGGGACAAATCAAAGAAAAAAGAAAGTAAAATTGGGAAGGAATCCGTTTCCATGAAAGACACATAAGTCCAATAAATAAAAATTGCCGACAAAAAACCGTGCCCGTCTTTAAAAGACTCCAAACAGATTTTTTTTTAGAATAGCAATTGAAAAAAAAAAAAAAAAAATTAAGTCCAATTAGGTGGAGATGAATATTGATAAAAATGGCAAATGTCTTTTATAGCTAAAGAAGAAACGTTAATTATCCATTAGGAGAATGTAGAACATTCTTCTATAAAGGATAAAATAAAAAGAGTTATTTGATGAAGATATTTATTTCCTAGGAAATACGCAATTGATTTTAAACATAAAATAATAATGGCATGGAAAAAAGAAAGCTTTAAATGAGGAGATGGAATTCAAATTTCGCATTAAAAAATCTGGAAAACATCAATCTGACTGTAGTGCCTTTAATAATTTGACCATCAGAACATCCCCCTTCCACCGAAAAATCTCGAATTTGCAAGAATTGATAGATCGGAAAAAACTTTTGAGACTATAAATTTCAGAAATTAATCCATAAAGGATTCTGGAATTCTTTGAAAACTTGTTACCACTTCCGTACCCCCTAAATAAATGATAAGTACGTCTAGTGGAAAAATATAAATAATAATAATAATAATAATAATAATAATAATAATAATAATAATTTCGGACAAAAGTTCGTAACATTTTTTAGAAGTGGGCGTTTGAACATGTGATTCTGTTTTACTTATTGACTGAAATTTATGATATCTATACATAATCTAAGTGTGACGCTTCAACATGTCTTTCATCAGGATTCGTGTGCAGATTTTGTATTTAAAGTATTTTTATGTTTAAAAGAAAACAGAGGTCAAAGTAATGCGTTTTTGTCATTTAATGCAAATTTTGTTTCCGAAATGAAAAGTAAAATCTCTGTACAAACAACAAAAAGAATGGATGCCATTTATGAAGAAAGTTCCATAGCCGAGAAGATTGTTCGTAAGTTTGATAGGTTCAAGAGTGAACATTTTCATTTTGAAACTTGAGGTCGTTTTGGATGACCAAATTGGAAGGTTGATTTAAAATAATCTATGTTCCACAACACGGGACATAACATAGATGCACAACATATATCTTCTGAGTATTGCAACGGGTTTGAAAACACATGGATGGGGAAATATTTACAGTTTGGCTGTCTCTCGATTTAACGAAAGGTCATGTATTCAACTTTGTGAAGTATCCGCTTCGTATTAGCCGTCATAATTAGTTTCACTAACTGCTTGAATTCAATTAAGTCAGTTTATTTTTGTTTAATCTGTATAGAAATCAAACATCAAAACGATTAACGCTTACTTTTGATAGTATTGAGGATACTGACTCTCTCTTTCCTTCTCTTCCCTATGTTGTGTAATGTTGATTAATCTCAAATAGTGTATTGATTTGATTGTTTATCATCTTGAGCAGGTCTACACGGTCGTGTAGGATTTATGACGGGTCAATCTTATTTTTTGTCCGTAAGTCTTATTTTTATATAGAATATGTTTGCCCCCAAATTGGCTTATATTTTCGCCATTTCTAATGTTACACTCAATATACGAAAATACACCATTGCTGGCAATTAAAAAATACTAACAGGTATGGCCACTGTTCACAATACAATAAAATGGCATGTTTTTGAATGGAATTCTTTAAAAATAAATACTTGTAATACCATCTGACTATAATGCAGAATAATGTTTTTTTAGCCAATCCAATATCTGCCGGGGAAACAATCATTTAATTTCTACTCTCGATTTGTTTAAATTGCTTGTTCAACAAAACTTTCCGTAAAGGAAAAAAAAAATCAGCAAAATGACTTAAATGGTTTATTTAAACAGCAAAGTACTTTTATTTGAAGAATATCATGTATAAATAAAATATCAAGTCACCTTAAATATTTAAATACCTTGAATCAATGAAAATTTCTTCACCGCTGACATTATATCTAACAAAACATTTCTTTGTGTTGGAACAGATGATCGCGCGTTGATATTCTTTGTCTATAGTAAAATCAGGAAATATATTTTCAATGAAATAAATAATAGGTACACCGCATGTAATATAATAATAATAATAATAATAATAATAATAATAATAATAATAATAATATGCATAGAACAAGATCATATGAAAAGCGTTGTAGGTTCAATTGATAAAATAAGTAACGGGCCTCAAGAAATTTTACTGAAAAATTGGAAAAGCAGTTATAGGAGACAAAAACTAGTGTCAGCATTTTGGGAGAATACTTGGAGCAGTCAAAATGAATATACTACCAATGTAGAATGGATTAAACGAAAAAGAACGAAAGAATAAAGAACAAACATATACAAGAATGAGCATATATAACTAAGAATAATGTTAGGCAATCTCTAACGAAATTCCTAAAAGGAAATCTCCAGGAAATGATAAGGTACCCTATTTTTTGTTCTATAATCTGTCATAAATCTATAAAACCCATTCGCAAATTTTATCAGCGCCAATTAATAATCTAAGTCCGAGAATGATCACAGAAAGTTTTATATCTCCTACCAAAAACGGGTGAAACAGTTAATCAAATAAATTATAGGCCAATAATATGTCTGTACACCATATATAAATTGATCTGTCCTGACGAAATTTACTTACTCTTTTCTCGATTAAAACAACGTTCTGCCATGGAGAGGTTCCTATGGTTGCAAAGATCAACTATTGACAATGAAAATAATCCTAGTATCTTTTGTCTGTCCTTAATCCCTCTTTCTCATGAACTAAACAATAATAACTATAAATACAAAGTAAGCAAGAAAGTATTTAATCAACTACTCTACATGAATGATCTCAAACCATTTGCCAAATACGACAATGATTTCCTCAATGCTGTAAAATGTTTCAGTGACGACATCAGTATGGATTTCGGATTAAATAAATGTGTAAAACTAATACTCCCAAAAATTAGAATTACAGAAGTGCACTCAATAGATCTAGATTTTGTTACAATGGGTAGGGAACTGCAACAAGAAGAAGCTTATAGGTACCTAGGAATTAGAGAAGGAGATGAAATAAAGCATTCGATAATTAACGAAATCAAATACGAAATTCTCCCCCCCCACCAACGAAATACGAAATAATCTCCCAGAAAATAAAATCAAAGACTCTACCTTAAACACAACCTGTAGTTCTCCAGACACTGTCACTGAAGATGACTCCAGGTACATTAAGTTAGAATTCCTTGAAAACCACAAAGCTGAAATCACCGAAGCGAAAAACCAGGTAATCCAAGTACTCAGCAGAGTAACTTTCATACAATTGTCAGATAGAGACCAGCTCCCCAAAATCCATATGACGAATTCCAACAAGCACATCGTCAAAATATACAACGCTGCTCTGGAAACACTGTTAACAGATAAACCATCGGGAACATCACAGAAGTTAACAACGTCAAATACGCAACAACTTCAGCAGCGACTCGGAAGCTTGGGGCCAAGACAATAAATATAATTAACAGACATAGAGAGTCAGCTTGGAAAGAACAAGTGATACGAGAAATAAAACAAATCAGATGTGAGATTTCTATATTAGATAAGCTCACCAGAAACCCTAATATTTCCACACGTAAATGCAAAAAGATCAAGCGGAAATATAAAATTAAATCCCTAATTGACATTCCATTAATCAGGGAAATGCTGAAGCAGAAACTTCAGCTAAAGGCACAGAGAACAAGACGATACGAAAAACGTTGTATTTTCTATAGCCAAAATAAAATATTCCAAACGGACCTTAAGAAATTTTACAGGGAAATTGGAAAAACACCTATACATGTCGAAAGGCCACCATCGAATGATAATGTACAGACATTTTGGAAAAATATTTGGAGCAGCCCAAAGGAATATAACCCAAATGCAGAATGGATCCGACGTGAAGAAGAACGAATGCTGGATACACCTCTGCAAGAATGGGAAAATATATCCACAGATGATGTTAGGCAAGCTCTAACGAAATGCCAAAAATG